CCAAGGTCTGCGCGCGGTTGAGAATATGAATCCGTTCATTTGCATTGAAGTCGGGGCCTACTGTCAGGATTATGGATACCACATACCTAATAGTAGTTGACTAAATCTCGGCAGGACCCACCACATACCATGTCTTATACGGAAATTGACTTCGGATATGGAGGGAGTTCCGGATAAGGAAAGACAACCAGAGTTCTACATGGAAACGACAAGGACTACTCAGATTGTATCCATATTGGTTTCCCTAGTTCTACTTAGACAAGGGGACACCTATGGGTATAAATACAAGGCCCCCTAGGAGGAGAGGGGGGAGGACACAACCAACACAATCTACAGAACAATAGAAACCACAACGTACAAGCCTACATACGCCAAGACAAGACGCCGGATATCGACATCAGAGATATACCTGGATCGACCCTATCCGGTACCTTCAGAGGCCGGCCGTAGGGATCTAGCGCTGTCTCTGATCTCACCGGGCACGAGCTCGAGGAGGAAGGCTACCCTGTTGTCGACTACGAGTCAGATCTTCAGACCGCCATGTCGATAACAGTTAGATAGGCTACCCCAAATATTGTACTGGTGTGATTATGGTGAATAAAGAGCAACATCGGCTTCGGCCAACAGGATGTAGGGTTATTACCTTCCGAGGGGCCCGAACCTGTATAAAAATCCTCGTCCCCATCTCTTTTACCTCAGTCTCGCGTATATCCTAGAACCAACGATCCCTGTACTGTCCAAATACCATAGTCGAGACATCAAACGTCGACAATACGCAAGTTACTTTTATCATATATATAAGTTACTTTTAGATTTGACTAAGTTACTTCTTAGACATATAAAAGTAAATTCAATAAGGTCTAAAAATAATTTACATATATTATAAAAGTATCTTAAAACAAAACAGAAGTAACTTTGTTACGACATTAGAAGTAAATTCGTTGTAGGGATAAAAATATACTTTATCTAGATATTAAATTTAATCAATACAGATCAACACACGTAAGTTTAACAATTTTTAAAAGTAACTTCAATGTTAATTGGAAGTAACTCTCTATACATCTCTTTAATCACCGATTGTTTTTTTCCTTTCATTTTTGTTTTTCATGTGGAATGAGAAAAGAAGATAAAACCTTTGATGGATTGTAAATAACACTAATGGAATAAATAATAAGAATTAACCATGTATAAGATGTAATAGTTACATCCTGATAACATGGAATTTACTTTCTAACATGTAATAAATTACTTTTAAATTAATAAAATGACAATATATTCAATATGAATATCATTGTCACATATTTTGAGTGGAGTACAATGATGCAAATAGATCTTATAAACAATATGTGATTTAAAATATATAAGTTATTAAAGAGATATACTATTGAAGTACAAACCGGTAGTCACGTCTAATGAAAAAAGACATCATTAAAGTTACTTTCTTTTTCTTTTTGTTATAAGTTACTTCTATAATAATTCTATAATATATGTAAATTACTTTTAAGCTTTATTGAATTTACTTTTATATATCGAAGCAGTAATTTAGTGAAATCTAAAAGTAATTTAGATATATTATAAAGTAATTTATAATTTTTCATCAAAATATAAACATGTGAGATCTTGTTATAAAGATTTAATTGTTACGAATACAACGGTGTAATCGGATGAGTACTTTAAGAGAAAATTTTATTTAAAGTATAGATAGATAGGGTCTCTTATAAACAGAGTGGTAACCAGCTACCACTAGTTGTGTAGTCACGTCCATTCAACAAACGTGTGCAAAAAGGGCTCGTCCACACTCATTGGCCATCGTCCATTTATACTATTAGAAAGTTTGTCCCTGTCCCCAAATGACAAATGGATAGTTTACTGACAGTAATTTTTTTTTTCTAATTCGAATATTTATATGTGCGAGCTGTTGCTGCTGCTTATACCTCCTATTAGATTCTTTTCAAAATGTATGACGCGCTCTTGAATTTTCGCACAACGTTTAATTATTCATCTTATTCAAAATTTTAATATAAATATATAAAAATATAAGGTGATAAAACAAGTCACAAAAAATAAATGATATTTATACCACTTATTTTAATAAGATGAATGGTCAAATGTTATAAAAAGAATCAATAGAGTCATACATTGTAAAATAGGAAAAATTTTGCTACATGACATCTTTTAGCTGTAGATACCATGCGAAGTGATATTTAGAGGAATCACTCTCAAAAGTTAGATATTTGCTGGTAGATACTATATCCATTAAAATAATAATTTTCGGTTTAAGAGGAAAGAGAAATCGAGTGAAAGTTTAAATGCCCTTAGACCCACGTATCAGATTTGCTCTTTATCAAGCACATGGGCCCGCATGTGCCTCTAGCATTGTTTTCCCCTTCTTCCTCTGCTCGCAGGAGGCAAGCTTGATGGCAGCCGGCCGTGGGCGCCGGCGGCAAGGCGCGCGGGCAGCATCTGCTCACTAACCCACGCGTCCTCGGCCGGTAGGGGAGCAGATGGGCGGGGAGTCCGAGCACGCCAGTGAGGCGACGCAGGAGACATGCCGACGAGAGTCGATGAGTCCCTCCATCCCTGGCGAGGTCAGCAGAGGCGAAAGGGGCACCAGGCAGCGAGGTTCATGAGGGAAGAGCCGGCTGGCGGCGCGGTCATAGGAGAGACCATCAGTGACGAAGCCGGTGTTGACAAGGTCCGCAAGGAAGGCGGCGGATCCAGGTGGAGACGGCGGGAAAGAGGCGAGCAGCACCGCACGGAGGTGGTGGTCATTGCCAACACGGTTGGAGGTGCGGGTCCACCGCGATGCCATGGGGTTGGGGAGCGGGGCGGAGAAGAGCCGGGCATGAGGGCACGGGGTTTGCAGGTCGTAGGCAGAGACGGAGCCGCGTGCTGTGCAGCCGTGCCACCACCGTGCCGGCCGCTGCTCCGTTTTCGCGTGGCCGCTGCTCCGCCTTCGTGCCGGCCGCCGCTCCTGCACACGTGCGCTACTGCGCCGCGCGCCGCCCTGTGCCGCATCACCGTCCGCCTGCATACGTTGCACGGCCACCGCGAGCCGCGCCGTTGTTGTGTTCATTGAGCTGCACTCAGCCTGTCGAGGGAGAGAGAAAGAGATAAGGAAGAAGATAGGAAGAGAAAGGGAGAGAAGAGGCAATTTGGTCAAGCCATGTAAAAAGTGAGGACAGTATCGTCTAGTTAGCAAAAAATATTAATTTAATGGTGCGGTGTCCCCCAGCAAATAACCATATTTTCAAAGTGTGTTTCTCCAAAAGTGACTCCATGCGATGTCATACAGCTAAAACCACGAAATCGCGACGTACTGTGGCAAAATTTCCCTTTAAAATGGAGGGGGTATTTCGCAAGTAGATGAGCATATCGGCAAGTAGTCAACGTGTCTTGCAGATGCGGTAGCCGTTTGAACAAAGCAGCTGGGCGGGGAACGATACTGGTTGGGGGCAAGCATCGACAATTGATTGCAGATGCAATCACTACTTGCCTCTTCTCGCCTACTTGTCATGACAGTAATCTCACCGATCGCGTTGTGGAATCAGCCAATTAGGAATGACGTGGCATCGACGTCACTATTTGCTACTCCCTCTATCCCAAAATATTCGACGCCGTTGACTTTTTTAAAAATATTTGACCGTTTGTCTTATTTAAAAAATTTAAGTAATTATTAATTCTTTTATTATCATTTGATTTATTCTTAAATATACTTTTATGTATACATATAATTTTACACACTTCACAAAAGTTTTTTAATAACACGAACGGTCAAACACGTTTAAAAAGGTCAACGGTGTCAAACGGAAGGAGGGAGTACTATGGCATGGGGGATAGGTGGGAGCCCCTACGAGTTGGGGGGCCAGTGCGGCTGCATTGCTCAGCCCTATCAGGGCCGGCCCTGTTTGAATAAGCATCACAAGTTAAACTTTTATAGGAAGTAGTTTCTACAAGCATCACGAATGCATGGAAATAAATTTTAATTTCTCGAGGGAATATTCACTCGTATATCTTTTTCTAGCAAACTTGATATAAATAGTTATATTTTTTTTCTAAAAAAAATGATAATGTGGAGTATAGTGACATCTAACACTTTATTAAGTTTAAATTTGTTCTACACATTAAGAAAAAAATTGAATTAGAGTATGTATAAATAGAATCGCTAGTATTCATATATTGAATTTGTCTTTCTTTATATCTAAATGTGTAAATGGAGTCTTACTAGAGATTTTGTGGAGTGGTATATGTGTTGTATGAATATTATTATTTTTTTCAAAATTATTCATACTAGTAATTGGCCCGTGCTAACGCTACGGTAATGTAAAATAGGAATGCATATTTTTTTAAACCATGCACTACAATAGGAATGAAAAATGTAGCTTGCACGGATGGTTGGAGCAATTTTCTTACATCATGCGGGTTTCCAGCATTCTAACCTCCACTTGAATGCATGCTATGATCGTCTACCCTCACGCTATCGAGTAAACAACATATCGTGTAGTGTTCAAATTGATCAAGCGTAGTGATAAAGCTATATTAGATCTTGCAAACTGCAAACTCAATGAGCCATTCATTTCCACTACAAAAAGTGGATAAAATTTTGGATATTTGTGGCACACTTTTCAATCTGCTAAATGGTGTGTTTCGTGCGAAAACTTTTTATATAAAAGTTGCTCTAAAATATCAGATCAATTTATTTTTCAAGTTTGTAATAATTAAAACTCAATTAATCATACGTTAATACATCCTCGTTTTGCATAAAACACTTAATTTTCATCTTTATCTTTATCTTTAAAAGTAAAGAACGCCGAGGTTAGGCGTTTGGAGAGGGATTTTTCTCGGCACGCACAAGAAGATATGTCATTAGTGCACAATTAATTAAGTTATTAGAAAGTTGAAAACATGTTTATTTGAATATTTAAAGAAATTTATGTATCGGACTTTTTCTTAAAAAATACACCGTTTAATACTTTGAAAAGTATGCCCACGATGAGGTATTTGCAAAGACAAATACACCCCCCGAACTCAGCCTTATTCCTAGAATCCTAGGAAGTATATAATGGTACATTAATTTCTGGCCAGAGTTTTTTGAGAAACTGGCAAATAAAAAGATTGTCTTATCTAAACAAACATAACAGCCTGTAAACCTGAATAATTTAGGCTCTACAAACTACAAATTGTAAAAGAAAATGTAAAAGAAAAAGGTTGAACCGAATCCCTAAATTAAAATCACCTGCCATCAGATATTTCATTCATCACAGCTGAAACGAGAGCATCATCAGATATTTCATTCATCACATTCGACTGTACGTACTTCCTCTATCCTTTCTCTTTCTGCTGAAAATAAATGTCCCTTTCCTTTCTAGTTGTGCTACTGATAGTTTCATAAATCTGGGAGCTCACCTACAGATGTAACAATGGTTTTCAGATGAGTAGTAAATCCAAGCCTTCTTCAGAAGAAATACAACTTCATCTAGTAAAAATCTCACACGATTTTTTGCGGGTAGTAAATATCTTATTTTACATGGTTACAATTTTGTAAATGAGATGAAGAATGTAAAATGAACATGAATACTTTGTTAAATCTGCAGATAAGCTGGTTGGATCATGGAAATACAATTTTCAAATTTCATAACTTCAGATCAAATTTCATTATACCCTCTAAATACACAGGTAGCGTAAATAGTAAATATTGTATTGCACGCCACCAACAGCTAGGTACCACAGAAAGCAAGTCGAAAAAATCTATATAATGCATATGATATTTCATGAAAATCAGGAATGATATGATTCACCTACTGCTAGATCTCAAGAACATAGAGGCAGCGTGATGTGGTTCAGGAGAAGGGGGATCAGCGACAAGGTGGTGGCTTGGATAGGGAATCGCCAGCGCTTGAGGCGGTGGCTTGGACAAGAGATCAGTGGTGCTTGGGTGGCAATTTGCTGACGAGGGATCGGCAACACCAGTGCCGTGGACGGGTGGAGGGCTACTGCTGCGCAGCTGTGCAAACACGGAGGTGTGGACAGACGCATTCCAGACCCGCTGATGTTTAAAATCAAGCACATAAATCAGTTGACTGAATCCAACATGAAACCAGTCACAATCACCGGTATGTATGTATGTATATATATATATTGAATTAAACCAGATCACCACAATGGGGCCTTATCTCAAGTATTCAACATTTATACTTGAGATAACCTGAAACTTTTTGAAAGGAGATGAAGTAACTTTTGGTAGTAGTCTAGCTGTCTGCCGTACAAGCAAACTATGAGAAGCACACTTGTTAATACCAAAGCCATTTAAAAGTCACTAATTACGTACTTACCTATCATGCTAAATTAAAAGTAAAGGTAGATGCATGTTATAGGAAACAGCAACAATGGCAACAAAAACTCGATCCATACCATATAAAGCACGCCATGCAGTCAAAGCAGCAGATTGGATAATGCTAGCCTTCTGCAGTATAACAAAACTTGATTCAATTAGCTTGCAGTATCATTTTCAAGTAACATTGGAGATAAATCAAATTTCAGAAACGAACAATATATTCCATTTCATAATTTAGAAAGCACAAGAATATATACTTATCCGATTGTTCACGTCAACTGCAAATTGATGCCATCGCTGTGTAGTTCACCCGTAAGCCAAGATGCCTGACAGAACGGATCTGTGGAGGCTGCTCCACCATCCCAGCCTGTGCTTGCATGATCTGAGATTCAGAATTGGTGTTAATCAAATTGGTTGAGCAAGTGGGTAGGTTGATCAATCGATCGATTTCATTTGCATATCTGTAACGTCATGGCATCTCTGAAATAGGGCACAACACAACTCAATCAGAAAATCAAAATGCATAGTACAAATTAGTGCAGAGCAATTGACAGCAAATTTAGAATTCAGACCACAACTCAATCAGAATAATCAGAATCCAGACGTATCAACTATTGTGCATGATGAAAACAGTAAAATGTAGAACCATAAATGGAGGCCATTCAACAAGATATTAGGACAATATATGATATTGGGACAAAGTATATGAACAATATATATGTTTCATCAATTACATAATAATTATGGCCTTTTAACATTACTTATCTCTGCTCATTCACTCGAATGGCCAAATGGGCTTCTAAATGTTTTATAGGATCAAATTACTATCTTAAACGTAATTCAGTCATAAACGATTTTGTTTTACCTTTTGAGATGAGACTATCGACAATGAAGGCCACCGCGGGGCTGGTGGAGGCGCAGAGGAGACCAGCCAGGAGTAAAGCAGTTCGCCGTCGACAGGGGAGCTGCGGTGGACTCGATGTGTACGGGCAGGCGTCCGTCGAGGTGGAGGTCAGTGGCGGCGCGGAGGAGGGCGAGGGGAGCGGATCCGGCGGCTGAGATCCGTGGCGGCGCAGTGGAGGGCGAGTGGAGCGGCAGTGGAGGACGGGATGGAACGGGATCAGCAAGGCGGGCGTCGATGTCCCGGCGCGGGACGGCGGTGGAGCTTCCGGCGGAGGGAACAGCAGCACTTGGCGGATATCGATAATGGCGCAAAGGAGACCGGGCAAGAGGCAGGCGACTGACGTTGATCCGGCGGCGCGGCGCAGAGGGGCAGGCGAGTGAACGGGATGGGCGTCGGTGTCCCGGCAGTGCGGTTCGGTTGGGGCGTCGCCTCCCTGGCGGCGGTGGCTGAGAGGGCGGAGGAGATCGATGATGGTGGGGAATCGGCGCAGAGGGGCCGCCGCTTGCGACGCGGAAGGCGGGCGGCGATTACGGCGCCGGGTGAGAGATGCGCGGAGGAGAGGAGGGGATTGAGGGCGTGAAGGGTGGCGGTTGAGGGGAACGCGAGCGCGTGGGGGTAGATACATCGGTGTGGATGCTGGAGCCCGGAGCAGTAGCATGGGACGACGTACATCGGGTTTCTGACTACTACTTACCGTCGAGGAACCGGGCCGAAGCAGTCAATCCCGAATCAGATCAAACTCTGCTTCTTCCTGTTAACTCCTAGCAATTGGAGTTGAATACCAACACTTCTCTTTAGCTTTACTACAAGAGGCTAGGCAGAGGTAGCTTAGAAATCAGAATCCTGTGCACATCGGCGTGCTGCCAACCAACAGAAAAACGCAGGCCTCAGCTCCTACATCTCCGTCGGACGTCGGGCTAGACGCAGGTATGACGACGACGACGACGGCGGCGGCTGCGGCTCTCACGTCCAGCGTCGGTGACGGTCCTCCGCCGTCGAGGTCCACCACTACCATCACCGCGGGACGAACCTACCACATACTCAAGATCGAGGGGTACTCCAGCACCTTGAAAGCCGGTCGTGGCCAGGCCCTCCGTTCCTCTCCGTTCAGTGCGGGAGGTCGCACCTGGTATATCAGCTACTACCCAAACGGAGGGCGAGAAACCAACAAGCACTGCATCTCTTTCTTCATCCATCTTGACGATGACACGGTCAATGACGATGTCATGGCACAAGTTACATTCAGCTTGCTCGACCGACACAGGAATCCGGTGCGGTCACACACTGTCACCACCACATTGTATAACTTCTCGGTGGCTAGTAGTAACGCGCTTGGGTTCGAAAACTTCATTAGAAGGGACGACTTGCAACGATCGGAATATCTCAATGACGACTGCTTCGCTATCGCGGTTCGTCTGGTCATCACCGAGGAATCACCATCCTTCACGGTGCCCCCATCGAACATGCACATGGATTATGGTGATCTTCTATCAAGCAAAGAGGGAACCGATGTCGAGTTTGTGGTTGGCGGCGAGACATTTGCCGCACACAGGTTGGTGCTAGCGGCACGGTCGCCGGTGTTCAAGGCGGAGCTATTCAAACCAATGGAGGAAGGCACCACGGATGTCATAAAAATTGACAACATGGATGCACAAGTGTTTAAAGCTCTGCTTGTTTTTATCTACACGGACACTTGGCCAGAGATAGGTCAAGACGAGACGACTATGGTTCAACAACTACTCGTTGCAGCCAATAAGTATAGCCTATCAAGACTGAAGATAATGTGCGAAGATAAGTTGTGCAGCTATATTGATACAAGTTCAGTGGTTACTATGCTGATGCTAGCAGACAAGTACCAATGCCATGGTCTTAAGAAGGTGTGCTTCAATTTCCTTGCCTCTTCAAGAGCATTGTCTTTGGTCATGAAAGCAGATAATTTCTGGTGTTTAATCCAGAGCCATCCAACTATGTTGAAGGATTTAATTTACAACATCGTTACTCATCAATTGGAAATTAAATTATCAGTGTAGTAATTAGGATTCATCCAAGCCAAAATTCAACTGTCGAGAAAAATAAAGGTTTCTTTCGTGGAATGAGTTCACCTACATATGGTTCAGTTTTGTAGCGCCTTCCAGCAAGCATATTTACAAGGAAAATCAATTTGCAATATAAAGTACTAACAGAGTTATAAGAAAACGACGTGTATGATACTCCTCTGTCTTATATTATTATACGTTTTGAGTTTTTTTTTCAAATTTAATAAGGTGATTTATAGAAATAGATAGTAAGTTTTGTCAACGGACTATACCCGACAACGGTAATTCTGTATATCATGAATCTTATATTGGTGATATGTCTTATCTATAACACTGATAATAGTTCTTAACCTCAATGCAAATGATTGGACTAACGTTCTCGATAATGTAACCTGAAGATATATCTTTGTCAGAATTACCTAGCCATTCTCGAAAAACCGAGTAGGCACAAAATTTTCTACAAAGAACGTAACCATCTTTTGAATTTGTAAGGAGGTCAGAAAAACAACAATCGTATAAAATTCTGCAAATATTCCACCTGTGATTTCTCCCTCTTTCTTGAAATACAAACCATCATATATGACATATAAAATCCACTTATGAGATTCATTTGGGTTCCGTTTGTACCTCAGTCGAACTTCCTCCCTTTTGTTTCCAAATTCCAACCTCGCGAGCACCAGAAAACCCTAGCAAAAACCCTCGTCACCATCGCCAAGCTTCCAATGGATCTGAATACCTGATCGATGAACAACTACTGCATGTGTGTGCACGGCGCTCAGGCGAAAGTGTGTCTTCTCAAAACTCAATATGAATTTGCGGCCAGACCGTTGTCGTGCCAGACCAACTGTTCCAATTCCAGCTCCCAGGTGTACTGCTCATTTCCACCGCGGACAGCAACGAGTCGACGAGACTTCTGCCCGCGTACATATGGTGACGCAGTACGCGTCGGTGCATGGTGCCCTGGCCGTCGACGTTCTTCGTCGTCGGTGCGAGGCCCTGTGCGCCGATTGGCGGGAGGCAGTGCGTGCAGCTGCCTCGCCGTGGGGCTTGTGTCGCTCGCGCGCGCGTACGTAAATTTGTCGGCGCGTACGTCGTAATACGTCGTACGCGCCCTCGAGGTACGCGGCCAGCCAGCGGAGCCGACGAGGGGTGAGCGGCAGCATACATGGCGTCTCAAGCCGACGATCTCATCCTTGACCGTATGCCGTGCCACCTCGATCGAGAACCAACCGTCGCGCCCACTGCCGTGATCAGCATCGATCACACGTACGACGTGTCCTCGCGCCCGATCGAACCGCACCTTCCAGAACGCCAACGCGTTCCGCTGGCCGGTGGCATCGTAGCAGCAGCAGCCAGCATAGGACGATGAGGCCGGAGCACGGCGCACATATGAGCTGCGGCCTGCGGGTCCTTTCTCTTGCTGAATTTCGAGGCCCATACGGTGCAGCCACTGCGCTAGTGCACACGTAGTCCCACCTCGCTTACCAAACATAAGTTTCACTCCTTTATAAACTGAGACCAAGATGCACTTGTCGAGAAACACCTTGTCACCAGCTGAGCATAACATAACATGTACCAATTGGGGAGGGTTAATAAATACAGGATTGCTAATTGGCGCACGCGCCAGATCGCCCCCCACCATGTCACGTGTCCTCTTTTTCTTTTTTTTTCTCTCTCTCTTTTTTCCGATTTTTTTTCGTGCCAATTAGCAAGTTTTAAATCACAACTTGAAAATTTTTAAATCTTAATTTTGAAATTTTAAAATTTTAGACTTGAAAGTTTTCAAATCAAGTTTTTAAATATCGAGTTGAAAATATTCAAATAATAAGTTGAAAGTTTTCAAATATTTCAAATCTGGACTTGAAATCTCGAGTTGAAAGTTTTTAAATCTTGAGTTGAAAATTTTTAAATCTTAAGTTGAAAGTTTTCAAATATTTCAAATCTGGACTTGAAAGTTTTCTAATCTCGAGTTGAAAATTTTCGAATATTTGAAAGTTTTCAAAACTGAGTTGAAAGTTTTCAAAATTTGACTTTAAAATTTAAATCTTAAATCGAAAGTTTTCAAGTCTAATTTAAAAATTTTCAATCTATTAGTAAAATAATCTCCCAAAAAAAAACAAAAATCTTCAAAATCTTCTCTAATTACCCATCATTAGCATTAAGTGTTAACTAATAGAGTAGTTAAGCGGGAAGTGCGCGCTAGCTGCGCGCACGCGCCAGCTAGCCGCCTCCCTAATAATAAGCGGGTGATCAGGCATTCTCCGCTCCTCCCCCTTGCTTGATCCCCTTCCTATGAACTTCAAACCATTTAGAAATAGAAAAATATAACTTAGAAAAAAAATCTAATATTTCAAACCATTTAAAAAATATATACAGTAAACTTACGTACAAACAAAAAACATTTGGATATAAATTTTAGGTATATAAACTTACAAAAGAAAATTGGTGCCAAAAAAAAGTAAGTGGTGAAAAAAAAAATCTCACCTACCGCCATAGAAATTAACATGACCGATCGAGCCCGGGAAGGGCGATCGAACATTTGAATATAAATTTTAGGTATATAAACTTAAAAAAGAAAATTGGTGCAAAAAAAAAGTAAGTGGTGAAAAAAAATCTCGCCTACCGCCATAGAAATTAACGTGACCGATCGAGCCTGGGAAGGGCGATCGAACATTTGAATATAAATTTTAGGTATATAAACTTGCAAAAAGAAAATTGGTGCCAAAAAAAATTAAGTGGTGAAAAAAAAATCTCGCATACCGCCATAGAAATTAACATGACCGATTGAGCCCGGGAAGGGCGATCGTCGTCAGGAGATTTGCGAACCTCCACTGTTACGTTCTAGATACGTGTGAGCCCGCTTCTCATTTCTCAAATATCTGTACTTCTATTATTTTAAAAAAATGATTGAATTAACATATATAAGGATACACCATCTCGTAAAAACTCTAGTCCAAAGTAAATCTACGTGCATAATTATTAGAAACAAAGAAAACAAATTTTATAGCACTGGAAATCTCGACTAACGTTCCTAGACATCTGCATTTTGCCACGGTTGAATTCTAATATCTATACGGTTAATTTGACTTCCATGGTTATCTGAAGAAGAAACCGTCTTCTCCGATTCACTGCCAAATATGCTGGAATTTAGATCTTCCACAATAGGAGGGCTCATGGAACTAAGGAACGTAAAGCATGCCTCCTTAAGTTTGCAACAATGGTGCTTCTCCGCTAGCACCAACATGGTTGACGCTGAGCCTGTATCAATGTGGTTGCACAACTTATCTTCGTAGACAAACTTTAACCTCTGTAAGCCATACATGTCTGCAGCAGCAAGCAACCGTTGAGCCATAGCTACATTGTCTTCTCCATGACCTATCTCCGGCCAAATGTCTGTGTAGATGAAGTCAAGCAGAGCCTTGAACACTCGTGCTTCCATGTTGTCAATCTGTATCACATCTATGGTGCCTTTCTTCGTCGGCCCGAAAAGCTCCGCCTTGAAGACCGGTGACCGTGCAGCCAGCACCAACCGGTGCGCCGCAAACATCTCGCCGCCGACCAGGAACTTGACATCAGTGCCTTCTTTGCTTACGAGGAGATCAACGAAATGCAGATGCATGTTCGACGGTGGTACCACAATAGATGGCTTTTCCTTTGGGACGATCACATGGACAGCGACGGCAAAGCAGTCGTCATTGAGATATTCCGATCGCTCTAATTCGTCCCTCCTAATAAAGTTTTCGAAACCCTTTGCCCTACTAGGAGATGTTGAAAAGTTACGTAATTGGGTGTGATAGGTGTACGACGGCACCGGATTCCCGTATCGATCGAGCAGGCTGAATGTAACTTTTGCCATCACGTCCTCCTCGGTGACGATGTCCTTAAGCACGAGGAAGATGGAGATGCAGTTCTTGTTGCTGTCGCGGCCTCCGTTTGGGTAGTAGCTGACATGCCAGGTGTGGCCTCCTGCGCTGAACGGACAGGAGCTGAGGGCGTGGTGGCGGCCGGCTTCCAAGGTGTTGGAGTACCCGTTGATCTTGAGTACGTGATAAGCCTGCGCCGCGATGGTCGTGACGGTGGACCGCGACGAAGGGGAACCGTCGCCGGCGCTGGCCGCAAGTGTCATCGTCGTCGTTGTCGCCATGCCTGCGGTCTTGTGTTGGTAGACCGATCTCTTGTGGAAAAGATTTGATTTCCTAGCTACTACCAGACTGCACGCCTGCTTCTTGTAGGACCAGTGTTAGAATCCAATTCCAACTGGTTGCTGGGAGAAGAGAGAGAACGACTCCGATTTGGGTTATTGACAGTTTCGACTGCCGGAACCCGTGTCTGTGCAATCTGCACGCGTCCGTGTCGCTCATGGTCGGCGTTGCTGCTGCACCCTTGCTGTGCTCGGTAGTGCATATAGCAGTGAAAGACAAGGATTAGGAGACGACGCCATCCTACTGCTGCAGCCTTACAGGCAAGCTGTTGTTTTACCTTATGGCATCACCAATGCGTGTCTTCAACCCGCACCCTCATCGACGGCAGTTTGCTTTTCCTTCGGAGCCGTGCCCTAGCGATGGCACGCGACCCCTGCCTGGGTGACACGCCTCCTCCTCCTTTTCGGCCAGGGAACGGGATGGAGGCATGCACTGCGGTGATGGGCGCCCCAGGCGACGGTCTCTCCACCACCATATTCCCCTTTCACCCCTCTCCCCTCTCTCTCCCCTTCATTCTCATCGCGAGAAGAGAGAGGCGCCGTCTCCTCGGTCTCCGCCGGCGGGAGAGAGAGGCGGCGGGCGGAGTCGACCACCGCGTGGAGACGGCCGGAGAGAGAGGCGGCGACAGTGCTATCGTCCATGCGGCCACCGCCGGCACGGCTGGCGCCACTCCATCCGCCGGGGGGCCAGATCCGGCCACGGCGGCGCTGGATCTGCCGCCTCCGGGGTCGCCGCCGCCACCAGACGACGATGACGACGACTGCCGCCTCCTCCCCGTGCGCTCGATTCGGAGGCAGTGGCGGGAGACGGTCGCGAGGCAGATGGTAGCGGCGGCGGGAGAGAGAGGGAGAGGGAGGCGAGCGGAGGCGGCGGGAGGCGGCGGGAGCGGCGACGGGAGAGAGGGAAGCAGGCGGCGACGAGAGACGACGGAGAAAGAGAGAGAGGGAAGCAGGCGCATGTGAAGGGAGAAAGAGAGAGAGAGGGAAGAGAGGGGTAGAATAGGAAAGAGAGGAAGAGGAGAGAGAGGGGGTTTTTTTGAGTATTTTTAGAGTACCCTTAGTTAGTTAGTGAGGGTACTCTAGAAGTGGCTTACATTGTATATGCCCTTAGGCTGCGACTACGATCTCTTCCCTTCAACAATTCGGTCAGTGTTTCTATTTTTGTACGTGTTAGAAACGCAAGCTAAAGTAAGTTTCGTGGTACACCGTTTTATATTAAGGAAGAGGCAACATGCAGCTTCGAAAAAATGTGTCCGACAATTTGAAGATGACCATATATCCAAGTGACAACCGGCCCTGGCTGTGGAGGCGCCTCCTCGTCGCTTGAGCGAGCTCGCCGGTGTTAGTGCCATCTCGCCGTCGTTCGTGGTCACAAACTTCTCGCATCTCGATCGCCGTCACCGGCCCTCACACTCATCGTGCTGGGTGAACTCATCTGGCTGGCAGTTGGTACTGAAAATCTGAGAAACTCCTCTACAGAGTAAAAGGGTGAGAGAATATCAGTTCCAATTGGGAGGAAATAGAGAAGTATTGAGTCGGTGCTAGAAAATGATGAAAACAGCAAAAAGAAATGGTGAGTTCAATATTTTTAGAGGGGATTGATGGATGGCATTCTTTATACTCCCTCCGTCTCAAAATAGTTATCTCTTTGGAGTTTAAATTTTGTCCCACAATACTTGTCACTTATTAGTACTACTTATCACATCAGTCACCTCCAATTCAAACTTTTACCCATTCTATCCTTACCATTCTATTGCTTCTATTCAAATAAGGGGCAATATAGTCTTTATTTCTCAAACCTTAATTTGTACTAAACAACCTAGAAAGACAAGTATTGTGGGACGGAGGAAGTTTTTTTCTGAAACCCCCGTGGGGTGTATTTGTATTAAAGTAGGAGGAAAACTGTACAATAGCCCTTAGGCTAGGAGAGAAAACAAAAGAAAACAGCAAGCGGAAAGATGGGAGGGGGGTGGACCACTAGACAAGGAGTGGGTTACATGTTGCGGATTACAGATTGCTGATTGTGCCTCCACCGTTGTCCGGGAGCAAAGATTGAATGCCCCTTGCTCCGCATGCACGCCAGAGCCATATTTCATCTGATATTCGATTTGTGATGGTCTGCGGTGATGCTTCGATGCCTTGGAAGACCCTGCTATTTCTCTCTTTCCATATCTCCCAGGAGAGTAGAATGAGAATTGATTTAACTCCGCTTCTTTTGTCCTTGTTCATGGCATGAATGGTCTGGATCCACCAGTCCTCGAGGGATGTTGTGCGTGGCCAGTTCAGCGGCCGCAATTGAGGAATCCCTAGCTTTGTCGCTACGGTCTCCCAGATTGTTCTTGTGACCGGGCATTCATAGTGGGACGGAGGAAGTAAGGATTAAGCATCGAACTCAACATCTTCAGGTAAAAAAATACTTTCATATTTGCAATTCACGATGAAAATTTTGTAGCATATGCTAGTATGCCAAATATGGACCACAGCAACTCCATATCCCTCTATAGCTAAGAGTTTTTGTGAGATCTAAGAGAATTGATACAGTAGTTGATTGGTAGGCAAATGTTAGGATAGTGCCATAGTTGTGCAATAGTTTTTGTTTTAAGAAAAAAGAAAGAAAAAGTGTGAAGAGCCCCCTTAAGTAGTGTAGTTGACGTATTAAAATGATAATTTAAGATGGCTACATAACCATTTAAACAAACTAACAAGCTAAGCTACGGCGAAAAGAAATAAGTTTGTACAAAGCAATTTACCAGCATATGGTACTTCAGAAAGCTTAAGGAGTGCATATAAAAGGACCTTTTCTTGTCCCTGGTTCAAGTTTAAAATGTCACTGAAGTACATAATGCTTAGAATAAGAGATTGGATAAAAAATATAATGCCGTCATACTGAATTATCTAACTGAAGAGGGTTCATACCTTGAGTATTGCATTTCTTTCTTGAAGAAGATGCGAGTCTAAAGCTCATTGTAATACAAAGAACTCCTCCTTATCTTCTTTCTTGAAGTAGCAAACATTGAAATCAAACAAGGTCGGTCGCTTCCTTTCCTTGCACCTACCTGGGGTTGCCTCTCTCCATCTTCTGCCTGAAGAAAGAGGACTTGCAACCGCTAATCGACAAAATCGGTCATCGCCTTCCACTCTGGATGTCGCACTTGATGACGCCCATCGGCCGAGCAACCATGGTGAACGATGTTTTGAGCTCAATCCCAGTTTATTTGCTAATGGCAATCAATGCACCGAAATGGGTAATCAAGGGGATCGACAAGATTCGTCGCGGTTTTCTATGGGCCGGGAAAGCTTCAGCAAGCGGTGGCGCATGCTGGGTTGCTTGGCCTCGGGTATGCTCCCCAAAGGAATACGGTGGGCTGGGCTTCCCCGATCTCGAGAGGATGGGACTTGCTCTAAGGTCGAGATGGTTATGGCAGCAGCGAACCTCGCCGGAAAAGCCTTGGCAGGGTCTTAGCATCCCGGTCTCGCAGAAGGAGCGCAACCTTGTCTCGCTCTCCTTGGTTTGCTCAGTGGGAGATGGGAACTCGGTGTTGTTCTGGGAAGATTGTTGGCTGCAGGGTGCTTCAATTCGGTTGCTGGCACCGGCTGTTTGGGCGGCTGTCCCAGGGCGGTTGCGGGGCAAACGCACGGTGTCTGAGGCGCTGCACGACAGGAGATGGATTCGCGATATCTCCTTGGCGTTAGGGATGCAAGCGATCCTTGAATACTTCAAGCTCTGGGAGCTCCTTCGATCTGTGCAGCTGTCTGACAAGCCAGACAAGCTTTCTTGGCGTTGGGAGAACTCGGGGCAGTACTCCTCCCACTCGGCTTATCGGGTTCTCTTCTTGGGGAGAACTCAATTCTAGCACAAGCCAATCTAGAAGTCCTTCGCCCCTCCTCGATGTCGTTACTTCCTCTGGCTGGTCACCCTCAACCGATGCTGGACGGCGGACCGCCTTCGAAGCCGAGGTCTATCGCACCTGGATCGTTGCCCCCTCTGCGATCAAAGCGACGAAACGATTGATCATCTCCTGGTCGCATGCCCGGAGTCTCGGCAGCTTTGGTGGATTGCTCTTACTGCTATCGGTCATTCCGAATGTCTGCCTCTCAATGAGCAGTCCTTTCATGCCTGGTTGTGTGACAGTCGCAAAAGGATGATTAAGGACCATCGCCGAGGGTTCGACACAATTGCGACACTGGTAGCATGGACAATCTAGAAGGAAAGGAACAACCGGATCTTCAACCAGAAGAGCAGACCTTGGATGGAGATAGCTAGGGCTATGATGGGGGAACCGGACCTCTGGCGGATGGCTAGATCAGCCATACCGACCATGACAGTCCCTTCGCTTGTTCTTGGGTCGCCAAATCATTCGGGAGATTAGGCTTCTACTTTTCTCTTCCCCTCTCCTGTACCCTGTCCCTTTCTTTTTATTTTTCAGGCCCGTTCTGTAAATACATTTATTCCTCTTAATACAAAAATGTGCGTCTCGCGTATTCCAAAAAAAAATCCAACAAGGTCAAAATGGTACACACGAAAGTGATGGGAAAAGACAAAAATAATGGAACAAAGCCACACCTTAATCAAATAGCATGCTAGATATAACTAAAAATATGCAGGCAGAACAGCACAAAGAGGAGAAAGTGCTACACAGAAAGCAGTAATGATAACGAAAGTTTATTTTCCAAGAAATTTCATTGGAGAAAAGAATATTTACAAGAGTTGGTAAGCAGTCAGATATCATAATTTAGAACCAAGTACAATATGTAATCAAAAGGATGATACATGTACCTTGCTCAGAAGACTGGCAGTTAGGTCAAGTTTGATGATGCCAAAACCTTGTTCTACATTTTCAGTGGTTGACAACATGACAGTCAGGCCCTTTTTTTCAGCTGGATCAGCCAAAGAAGAGGCCGATTGAATTCCATTAAGATTGAAGGGGAAATGTAGATATTACAATGACAGTAGGCTGTTGAAACCGGTGGCACCCACCATGCTGGGGAGCCAAAAAAACAAAACAGGAGATCGTCCTGTCGAAAAAAGGATTGGGTTGAACTAGGGACAAATCGCCCTCTCTTTTGAACAAACCCGCAGCCCTCCAGACCAAAGATTTCATCCTTAATTGCTCCATATACATTACTAGGCGTGCTTGTTCTGTTCTCGGAGACCCCTGCATTCCTCTCCTTCCATATGAACCAGCATACCATGAAAAAAAGGAATCAAAGGATTTCCTGTGAGCAGCACGACAACACACTCTTGGCTGAAGCCGCCACTCACCAAGATCGAGGTCCTGATCCCGTGGTAGCTGAAAACCAATGTTGAGCCAGTTCCTCAACATATCCCAAACTACATTAGTGAAGTTGCAGGCAGCAAACAGGTGGGTACAATCCTCACTCGCAAAAGAACAGAGGTGGCAGTGTTGGTGATGGGGCCAGCCTCTCTTTTGTAGATTGTCTGCCGTGAGGCATCTCCCTTTGAGGGCAAGCCACATGAACAACTTGATCTTGGATGATGCTCTTGTCTCTCAGACCATCCTGTCCCAAGACCATCTCGTTCTGGCCAGGAAGAACATGCTGTACACCCGAGTCGACTGAGAAGTTACCATCCCCGCCGTTGTCCAGAAAAACACATCTTCTTCTCGCTGGTTCAGTTTCTTCTCTTCTACTAAGTCCCATACCTGAAAGTATCAGCTCAAAGCTCTACTCGATGGTGCACCCACAATATCCTTCACCCATCGACAGTTTGTCAGACCCTCAGCTACCAAGAGACCATCTTGGCACACAAAGCTGAACAGGCATGGCATCGAGGAGCTGATGCTGGGCAACCAATTGGACCTCCAGAAATCAGTGTTGACGACGTTTCCTACCTCAACCCTAGTTGCTGCGAAGAAGATGTTTTCCAGAGTCTCGTGTTCTTGTTTCTTCAGCATTGTCCTTGTCCATGGGCGCGATCATTCTGCTGTACCCTCAGTGCCAGCCACTTCATACGCAGTGCTCGACCGAATAGGGTGTAAATCCTTGATTCCAAGACCACCATACTCATCAGGCGAGCAGACCTGGCTCCAAGCCACCAGACAATGTCCACCACTGACACTAATCACAGAAAGCTTCGGCATTTCCTCTCTACCTCTTTAATTGCCCATTGTGGCAGTTCAATTACCATCACTTAGGTGTACTAGTAACACCATTAGCACTGTCTTGATTAGTGTCAGTCTTCCTCATGATGGCAGCATCTTTTGGCTTACACCTGGCAACCTTCTTAGAGAACTTATCTAGCAGAGGCTGCTGTTCCTGCTTGGTCAATCGGAGTGTTGAAAGCGGCAGACCCAGGAACTTCAGTTCTCCTTTTCATTGATGCTTTCATGTCTTGATGAATGGACAAAGAAACATGGCCATAATTTGCTTGACTGTACTTTAATTGGATGGGAGACAAGAGGGCAACCACTCTTCACTTCACAAGGTAATGTCTTAGTATCAGGCAGATCATCTGTGCTACATGTCTATGTTTCTGTCAAAAACTATCAGCACATAGGGCTAGTATGCTAGATTATTATCAATAAACCTTCAGCACTGGTAACTGATTTATTTAAAATCAGCTTTAACTGATATTTTTACTGTAAAAAAATAGGTAAAGAAGTGGCAAAACTGTTGAGTAAACCGCAGAGGCATTAAAAAATGACTTTCATAATTTACAGTTCCACATAACCACAATAGTTTGAATGGTCATATTACCAATTAGCAATGATGCTTTCCTTCTGAATACTTTGGATTTATTTTTATGATATTGAGCTCATCATCCAGAAATAATAATTACAGTAGGAAAAAGAAGCACCAAATAAACCATTTCATTGAGAAAAGCACACATATTATAGTTCGATCTTAACTTAAAAAACAAAACAATACATACCACCTGCACAGAGGAATCCCGCAACTGGCAATTGTTCAGCAGGAGAAGATTTTTAAATATGATAATGCACACCCATTTCCAGATTTCAACTTCTTAGATTACTGCATGATCCATAATATGTCGACACTCCTGTTTCATAAGTCCAAAATTGGTCAGCGAGCTGAAAACCCAACAGTTACTTGATTTCTGAACAATCTTATGTGAAATAATAAAGAAGATACAGTCACCTCATGGATGGCATTGAACGTCAAGGTATTTGTGATTCCTAAGCCAAACTGATGCAGTTTGTGAATGAGGTGAAGCTTGTCCATCTTTGACAATCTTATCTGGAACCATGGCATGTGCACCAAAAGCAGGATCCTAAAGAACAGAGTTATTTGCCAAACAACATTTCCTGCTTACTGCAAAGAAGTAATTGACATCTGATTAATCAGCATGATTTTTGTTTCCTGGGAGGCAACAAGTAGATATGTTCACCGCAAAGGCGTGACATACTCATTCGAAGTAACTATACTCATTTGAAGTGATATTCATGAAAACTTCTCTAAGCTCAGCATCCGAAATTTTAGTTTATTTCTCAGTTTAGTAGGAGGTCATTGCCTTTTCGCCTGGGATACTGTCACCATGTCAAAAGAAGAGGGAGGACTGGGCATACGAGATCTCAAAGCTCACAACCTGTCGCTACTAATGAAACTTGCAAGCAAGCTGCTATCTGGCTCCCCGGAGCCATGCTTCCACTGGCTCAGAGCACAGCACCTGCAGAACGAGATTCCTATCCTAGCAAGACCAACTGATACACCGGTTTGGAAGATGATCTGTGGAGCATTGGAACCAACAATAGCATCAACCAAAGTTTCGCTGGGAAGCGACCTTTCGGTGCAATTCTGGAAAGACCATTGGACGGACGACGGCTGCTTCTTCATCACCTACCCATCACTGGCATCATTTGCAACCAACATCAACTGTACAGTCGCCTCACAATTCACACAAAACACCTGAGCGATTAATCTCCACCCAGTGTTATCAAACCAGGCACAGACAGAACTCAACCTCCTCATGAACACTTTGGCAACTCTTCAACCACATGCAGATGCACCAGATACAAGATCATGCCTTCAATCCCTCAACGGAATAACAACCGCAGCATTTTACAGACTCCTCACATTCCATGGCATATCATGGAAGCCGGCTGAATTCATATGGCTCAAAGCCATCCCAAATACTTGCAGAATCTTCCTCTAGCTAGCCTTCAAAGACAGGTTAAACTCCAACAACAACAGAACGCACAAAAGTGGTCGTCTGACCCACACTGCAACATCTGCCCAGCAATTGAATCAGCAGACCACATTGTGTTGCGTTGCAAACTGGCTGAGGCCCTCTGGACAAAACTCGGCCTAAATTCCATAGCAATCCAATGCACTGACATCCTCCAATTCGTTGATGAAGTCCTAGGTTCTTCTCAGGGCCACCTCAAGCTGGGATGGTTGATATGCTTCGCTGCCTGTGCTCACAACCTATGGAAGGCAAGGAATGATGCGGTATTCAACTGAGCTAACACAAGCGTTTCCAACCTCCTGCAGACAACAAGAAACTGTCTGAACTTATGGGAGAACCGTGTCAAAACAGCAAATCGATCGCAAATTCAAGGCCGGATAACAAAACTGAACTAGATGATCACAGTGCTGCTCACCCAGAATATGCAGACAATTGTATTCATATGCTACTCTTTCCCTCTTTCATTTTCTTTCTTATTTCTTCTTTCTTTCTTCTTTCTTTTTTCTCTTCTATCTTCTTCCTTCGTTCCCCTTTACCTCTGTATTTTCTCTCTTCCTTTCCTTTTGTAATTGGCCACTTGGCCATGTAAACCATTGACCACCATTAATACAATGGTAATAAGGTAGAGCCTCTCTACCTTTTGCGTAAAAAAAAGGAAGTTTAGTAAGAAGTTTGGCCTGTAATTGTAAGGTAAAAACAACAGAATATACAGACGAAGCAATGAAGTATAATAAATCAAAATAATTCCATAAGAGTATATAATAACTATAACTGCACAAAAGAAAGATAATATGGAATGAACAAAACTCCTCTCAAGAGTATACCGTTTATCTGTCGTTCACTTAATTATACAAGCTAGATCACGAGATATCACTATGCAATGCATCTTTCTTTGTACAGAACTTTCAAGGGTATATGTTGATCGCTCCAAGCAGTGAATCTGAAATGCAGTATCTCCAGCATATGTTACCACAGGTACAAGATCCAGAGAATCCTTTATAACATCAATGTTATTTCTTCTGGTCCACTCCTATATGCATAATTGTGGAAGACACACTAGCTGTCTAAAATCTGCTCACTTCTGGTCTTTTGAAAGATATCAGAAATTTTAATTCTGAACAACAAGCATTGACAATGAATCAAAAATTTCAATATTCCATGTTGGAATGTTAGAGGCATTCATTCTGCTGATAAGTGGAATGCAATCAGAAAATAAAATCAGTGATTCTAATTATAACATCATCTGCCTTCAAGAAACAAAGAAAAACAATTGAGGCAACATATACTAAAAATTTCTACCCAGCTCAGTTGAACAAGTTCGTGTTCTTACCATCTCAAGGAAATTTGGGAGGTTTACTGATTGTCCGGTCAGAAGTACAGTTAGAAGGGAACAAACATATTTTAATGACTTCTCTCTCCCAGTTGCTCTAACATCAAATATTTCTGGAAATGTATGGATTCTTACAAATATCTACCATGCTTGCCTATGTGATAAAAAATTGGAATTCTTGATCCGGTTTGAGAACATAACCATAAAATAACTCTCTGGGTTGAAATCTCTCCACTCTGTATTGTTTAGTTGCCTTACATAGATGAGAGTTTTTACCGTCCAATGGTACCGGGCGGTACCGAATGCTGGCCGTTGGATCTGGCCCGATCCAACGGCTGGATTGTTTGGTACCTCCCGGTACCAAGAATGTCCCTGATGCGGTACCGCCCAGACAACTTGGTTGGAAGGGTATTATTGTAACTTCGCGTTGCTACTGGATGGATCAGGAGGGATGGATCGGGGCTGGCAAGTGGCAACTCGCTCGAACCCTAGTATTTGCTCTCCTTGCCTTTCGCTGCCATGTTGCTCTGCCGCCGCCGCCGCCGCCGTTATCCTCTGCCGCCGCCGTCGCCGTGTTCATGCTCCTGTGCCGTGAGTTCGAGTTGAACCCTTGAGCCGAGGAGCGACGAAGGACGACGCGGATGATGATATGGGGGGTTAGGGTTGGGCGGCGGCGGAGAAGGAGAAATCAATTTTACTGCGGAGGGAAGCGTGTGGGGGCGGAAGGAAGCGCGTGGGGACGATGGATTGAGGGCGCAAGCGCGGCTGTGGAAGGAGAAGGACCGAGCGAGCGCCGAGTGAATTTCTTCTCCCCATCCTACCCATACAGGAATGAACGGCCAGATGTGTACTGGCACCGAGCAGTACCAGTACCAGCCGGTACTCTTTGCTGGACCACAAAGATGCTCTACATAGATAGGTTGAACAATGCTAAGAGATTGTCATTACAAACAGAACGGGGGATGCAATTCTAACAAATCGACAATGGCCAGGTCACAACTTCACAAGTTGCCAGTCCACTGATCTGACTCAACTGACATCATACTAGTGAATTGACAGATAATGAACATGATCAGCAGTGAACCAGAATGCAGAATCGGACTGAATCGGCATAGGCATACCTCATTCTTGAGCAGGACTGTAGTTTGCTCATCCCATGATCCCTCAGCTTGAATCAATAAAACCCAAAACAGCAGGAAGTGAAAAAACTTACTGCATCACAATCCAGAGAGGCGCAAAAGGGGAAAACCCTATCATCTTCTCGCAAGAATAGCGGAGAACCCTGCTCGGATTCAGCGCGGTGCAGACCCTGAAATCAGCCGCCAGGAGCGGACCTCGCCGTGGTCGCGGCCGCGTCGCCCCCCTCCGGCTCCGCGGGCCGACCGTGGAGAGCGCGGCACTTGGCCCTCGCCCCAACGCGCACGGAGCCCTTCGTCGAAGGAGGTCGCGGCGGAGCCCCAGGGGGCCGCCCTCCTAAACCCTAAACCCGTCTCGCCGCCCGCGGGATTCTGGGGTTCTGGGGATTCTGGGCTCGGTGGAAGCGGAGAGGAAGAGGGGGATCCGGGCGCGGCGGTGGCGGCGAAATAGGAGACAGAACGAGGGCTACTTCCCTTCACTTCGCGCGAAACGGAGTAAAAGGCAAACGGGACGAACACTCATGCTTTCGTCCAAATGAATCGCACAAAAGAGAAAAGAAAAAAAAATCAACCAGGTCAGAACTCAGAACAAAGACTATGCTGCTCTAACCATCTCCATCAGGCTTGAGGTTGACGATAACTAAGGTGCCGCAGGCGCGGCCGCGCCGACATTCTCCGCCGCCTGGGGCTCCTCCACGAGGCCCTCGTCGTCGTCGACTGCTTCTTCTCCAGCACGAGCGTCGCCGAGGAGGAGTACCTCCGTGGCCATCGCTGTTGTGGTCGACGGCGTCGCCTCCAGGGCCGCAGGAACATGGGCGTGCTGTAGAGACTAGAGAGCACCCCATGACTCCACCGGAGAACTTCACCGAAGATGGATGTATCCGGCCGCGGCGCCTGTCCAGCTCAGAGAAAAAGCTGCGGAGGCGGTGCCGATGGCCGTCGTCGGTGGAGCCGCCCCCAACGGCCAAGACGCCGCCGCCACCGCCACCGCCACCACCACCGCCACCGCCACCGCCACCGCCGCTGCCGCCTCCGCCGCTTCCATGTCCCGAACTCCCGATACCTCGGCTGATCTGGTGGGCGCGGGGTAGGGGACCTTGAAGGGGAGTTGACGGCATCCTCATCCGAGAGGATGTTGGGGGGGGGGGGGGGGGGGGGGGTCTCGTCGACGACGTCTTCAACGGGGGCCGCGTCCTCGGGCTTGTCGGAGCCGTTGCCTCCGGTGGGCGCGGTGTTGGGATCGTCGGCCTCCGCGAAGAGCTCACGGACGCCTTCCAGAGAATCGTTGATGGGCGGATCGCTCGCCGTCACCCGCACTCGCCGTGCTTCTAGCCCGAGCGGGGAACGCGTGCACGGGCCATACGGAGAGTGGCTTCCCCGGCGAACTCCCGTTTGAGGGGGAACCGCACCGAGGAAGGACGAGGTGCCCTGCCCTTGCCGCGTCCATCGACGGGCAGTGGAGCACCCGCACCGACTCCTATCCGATTCATTTCTCGAAATGGTGGAGGCGTGGAGCGGAGGGGAGGGGGAGGGTGTTCTTGGCGAGGCGAGGAAGCGGGAGGAAGAGGCTTCGAACGCTCGAGGACCCGTTATATAAAGGGAGAAATAACGAGGTCTAATTCGTTATGCTTTAACCATAACTCACTGACACGTGGGACCAGGTAGCACGTCAAAGCTCAACCGTCGGATGGAAATAGTGAGACGGTTAGATTCTTCTCGGGGGGGCAAACTGGTAAAAATTACCTTGAAGAAAACTAATTTCAGTCAGTGTTACACTTGTGGGGCGGGTTAATGGCCTTGGTTGGGCCCACATGTCATACAAAGATAGACTTGGATGATACAGTCATCTTGCCTACGTGGCGGTGGCGCCGCCGCCGATTTCTTGCAAAAGCGGCCATGCGCCCGCGTGAACACCGGCGACTCGTCCTCCCATTCCCCCACAACCTCCGCCTTGCCTTTCCCCGCGCCGCCACCACCATCGCCACCGGCGCCATCCCTTCCCCTCGTCGCCACCTCCACCTCCACCTTGCCGACCTCACACGACCTCTCGTCTCGCCGCGCCGCGACCAGGCCAACCCCGGCCCGACGAGTAGCTCGGTCTCGGTCGCCGCCGTCCGCCGAGCGCACCACCCGCTCCTCCGAGCCCGGCTGATAGAGGGGGCGAGGGCATGGCCGACGGCGCCGGCACCGGGAGATCGGGGGGAAGAGGAGAAGACCGGGACGAACAAGCACGGGCTCGTGCCCGAAGACCTGGGTCTCCTCGACATCCTCGACGACAAGCACACGCAAGCGCGCCCGCGAACTCGACACGAGTTCTCGTCTCGCCGCGTCCCGGCCCCAATCGGCGCCAACCCCGCCGATCATCTCGGTTGGCGGCGCCGCCGCGCTCGCCACCCGACGCGTACCGACTTCCTCCCGTCCTCCGAGGCCCGTTGATCGGGGGGCGAGGGCATGGCGCGCGGCGCGCCTGCCTCGGGAGATCGATCGGGGGAGAGAAGAAGAACGGGATGAACAAGCACGGGTTCCCGCGCGTCTTCCGCTTCGTGGCTTCGTGCCCGACGACCTGGAGGAGGCTGGAGCTCCTCGACATCCTCAACGACAAGCTCCGGAGCCGCCGCGCGTGTACCGTCGTCACCCGCGCGCGTCAGGGCAGCCGACAAGGTGTAGGAGCTGGTGCGCGCGGCGCGGGGCGGCCGGTGGAAGAGCCCAGGCTCCTGCAAGAAAGTTGACGCGCGGCGTCGCCGTCGGCCAGAAGAACGCGTGTTCGACGGCGGCAAGAACCCCGTTGTGTTCGAACGAGGGCATGGCGGCACCGGAAGACGGGCACGAACAAGATGCGGTCGGAGCGCGCGGCTCAGAGCGGCCAGTGGAAAGTCTTCGGCAACTGCAGCTGCCGTTGGGCTGGGCGTGCGCATCGGCGAGACTATCTGGTTGGCGCCACCGCCGCCGCCGCCGCAGTGCATCGACGTCCCGGGACCGGGAGGCGACGAACTGGACCAGCTGCTTTACGGATACGAAGAATCACCTGGCGTTCTTGTTCAAGGATGACGACGGCAATGCGCGCCGCCGGTGCACGTGAGCGTCTCTCAGTCTCACACCCTGCGTACTGATTGACCACTGGAATTTTTAATTCTTTTTGGCGAATTGCTTAGCTGATTCTGACCAGCTGGACGTCAAATTTCTGGCAAATCATCAGTGATGAACTGTTTACTCTTTTTTTTTCGGCCATTGGTGTTGTAACGCACTTAACTAGCTAGTTCTACGTGAGGCTTCGAACGCTCGAGGACGAGGACCCGTTATATAAAGGGAGAAATGACGAGGTCTAATTCGTTATGCTTTAACAATATCTCACTGACACGTGGGGCCAGGTAGCACGTCAAATCTCAACCGTCGGATGGAAATAGTGAGACGGTTAGATTCTTCTCTTGGGGGGGGGCGGGGGGGGGGGGGGCAAAACTGGTAAAAATTACCTTCAAGAAAACTAATTTCAGTTAGTGCTACACTTGTGGGGTTAATCTTTTTGTTCACCATAGGAGGGCTCTCTGAAATTGTTTTTTTTTCGCGAACGCACAAAAAGATTGCACGTCAATATATTAGAAGAATAGAGTTTATGTTACACGACGCACTCAACCAGACCAGCCTATGCTAAGGATGGAAGAAAACAAAGATAAAAAAAAGGAAGAAAAGGAAAAAGTCGTGACGATGATAACTCTACTCCAAACAGCGAGAAGGGGCAGAGCCACTCTACGCTCCCAACAATTCCCCAAAGGAAGCGATGGCCGCTAATGACCACAACCGGCCCTCCAAAAGAATGGACTCTAGGACCACTGAGACCGAAGAAAGCACAGAATCAAAGACCCTGGAGTTACGTTCCTTCCACAGTTGCTTTGAGACTAGGAGGACCAGAGAGTCGAAGCTGGCACGAAGATGATCAGGTAAACAGGCCCTAGAAGATGGCCATCAGTCCTGTAGCCAGCTGCCACGGAGGGGAGAGAGGGCAGTCCAGCCAGGAGGCGACAGCACCCGTAACCAGACCTGACGAGCGAACACGCAGTCGAGGAGGATGTGGTTCGCCGTCTCAAGCTCTTGAGCACAAAAGGGGTAGCCTGAGTGGCTATCAATGCCACGCTTCTGAAGGCGATCAGTTGTCCAACAGTGCTACTGAAATGCAAACCAGAGAAAGAATTTGCACTTAGCAGGGCCCTTCGCGTGGGCTAGCTGGTTAGGATACTCAGCTCTCTGAAATTGTTTTCAGGCGATGTTCAAGCATGCGTTGCAGGCGAGCAAGAATCAGGCATTCGGTGATGGGGCGCGAGAGGAAGCGCGCCGCGAAGGCATTCAAGTTCTGTCTCAGTCTCTCCAATTCTGGGGCGACGGCCTCACCTAGCACCTACCCACGCAAACGTATCGTTTCTGGCTGGGATCTTATCTCTCGCCTCGCATACGGAGCCGAGCGCATCATATGTACTCCCTCCGTCCCATAAAAAACCAACCTAATACCGGATGTAACACATCCTAGTACAACGAATCGGGACATACTTCTGTTCAGATTCATTGTACTAAAATATATCACATCCAATACTAGATTTGTTTCTTTCGGTACAAAGGGAGAGCGAGGGGCTGACGTCTCCTTCGGCTTGACAGGGGTTTGTGGTCGGAGTCTCGGAACGCTCACCATGGAGGTCGCTGCCTGGTAGCATTGGCAAGCAGAGCACGCATGATGCCACGAGCTACTACGTAACATTGCCATTGCGAAGACTCTATACTCTACTTTTAATATTCCTTATTTTTAATTCTGAATTTCAGTTATTTTCTAATTGTATTTCTATATGGACTCTAGTCTCCTCTTCTAATATTTCTTATTTTTTAATTCCGAATTTCAACTATTTCTAAATTATATTTCTATATGGACTCTAGTCTCCTCTTCTAATATTCCTTATTTTTTAATTCTGAAGTTTAGCTATTTCTAAATTGTATTTCTATATGGACTTTGCTTTTTCTTTTTCTTTTTCTTTTTCTCCGATTAATGTGAGAATTTCTAGGCCATGAGAGCGAACGTGGAGGCTCCTTTTTATGTATTTCTTAATTTCAAATTTTAGTTATTTATAAATTGTATTTTTATACGGGCTCTAAACTCTACTTTTAATTTTATTATGTTTATTCCGAATTTTAGTTAGTTTTAAATTCCTATATGGACTCTATACTCTACTTCTAATATTCCTTATATTTTAATTCCGAATTTCTATTTTTTTTCTTAACTCTATTTCTATATGGACTCTATACTCTACTTCTAATATTCCTTATTTTTAATTCCAAATTTCTATTATTTCCTAATTGCATTTCTGTATGGACTCTATACTCTACTTCTATTATTTCTTATTTTTAATTCCGAATTTCAGTTATTTCCTAATTATATTTCTATATGGACTCTAGTCTCATCTTCTAATATTCTTTTTTTTTAATTCCGAATTTCAACTATTTCTAAATTGTATTTCTATGTGGACTCTAGTCTCCTCTTCTAATATTCCTTATTTTTTAATTCCGAATTTTAGCTATTTCTAAATTGTATTTCTATATGGACTCTGCTTTTTCTTTTTTTCCGATTAATGTGAGAATTTCTAGGCCATGAGAGCGAACGTGGAGGCTCCTTTTTCTATTCCTTTAATAATATAATAGATAGATATGTAGTGCAAACCACATATGTAGTGGAAACTTGGAAACTACCGTTGGATCGAGAAATGGACGTTCGAGATTCATCCATATCACCATGAGTTAAAAATTAACTCCTAGTAAAATTTTAACTTATGAGTGAATCTGCGAGTTAAATTTTAACTCATGGTGATGTGGATGAATGTCGGATGTCCATTTCTCGATCCAACGGTAGTTTCCAAGTTTCCTGTATATATGGTTTGCACTATATATTTT